TCTCTCTCTCTCTCTCTCTCTCTCTCTCTCTCTCTCTCCCCCCCCCTCTTATCTTTTTCTTTCTTTTAGTTTTTCTTCCTGAAGGGGATAGCCCATACTAGCAATACCGTATCCATTGGATTTGGCCAATATTTAAACAAAAGACATGATCTGTCATCAACAGGGGCATGATTTGTTCATCAACCGAGATGATCTGTTCATAAACAGAGATGTGTGGGGACCACTTAGCCACAGGAGCTGAGGTAGTAGTAGTTTGACGTTTCTCCTTTTTGTATGTTTAGGTCTCATTAATATAGCAATCATTTCAACAATGAAATTCTCGTCTTTTGTTGAGGCCCATAGTTTTGGTTTACATTTGGAAAAGGCTGTACAGAGTTCTTCGGGACATATCCGTTTATATTGGAACGATACAGAGAACCTAGACAAGATTAGCAAAATGGCCCCTGCGCTTTCAAGGATGACACGCATAAATCGAGAAATGGTCTTCCCCCCCCAAAAAAAGAAAAAACAGAAAAAAGGTTGTCCATAGCTTATGTGAGGATTGAGCCCTCAAGAAGGGGCCTTGCCATGATGTACATGTTCTGGGCCAAGGCCCCAGCAAGCCTAGTGCCCGCCCTAAGTGAAGGCGGGCCAGCAAATCAATAAGAGCCCTCTGTGCAAACATTTCCCGAAGTGGGGTCTATACAGTTGCAGCACGCCAGTTGGTTGGAGTGCACCGAGTCTTGAATCTCTGCAAATGTGGAGATCCCAGGGCCTCTGAGTTAGTTAGGCCCTGGGCACTTGAACGTGAGGCCGACAATGCATGCTGGGGATAGAGGCCGAAAATGCCAAAGCGAAATCGGCCCACTATCTGAATCTGGCCGCAGGCCTTGATGAAAGAGGCGCAACTGCATTGCCCCGGGCCTCAACTGTATCGGGCTGGGTTCAGCCACTGAGGCCCAGACGCAGGCTGAAGGGAGGCCGCCCACACGCAGCACTGGCATATAGGCAAGCAGGGCGAGTGGGCAGGGATCTTGGCCAATGCAGGCATTGTGGGCACGCTGCGCGAATGCGAGGTGCTGCGCTGTGCAGAGCTGCGCTGCGCTGGGATGAGACAGGCTAGCGCTAGGCGGTAGGGCGCTGCCTGTGTACTGGGCGCTTGGCGGCCATAGCCGGGCGGCATAGGGTGCAGGGGAGGTGAGGGCGAAGGTGGTTCTTCGGAGGTGAAGGGCGCTGTGTGGGTAACAAGGGAGAGTGTGGGTGAAGAGGACACGTACCTGGTGGAGGTGGAGGTCGGCATTGGTGTTGACATCATCACTCGCTGGTAGTCAAGTTGTCTGGTTGCTTTCATTGCTGTAGTTGTAGGCTTAGTCTGTAGAGTAGATAGGGTGCCTGGCGCCATTCACAAGAGAGAGCTACATTGGGTTATGCTGTTGGTGTTGCCCTGTTGGGCTTGGACATTGACTCACGATTCTTCTGTATCATTCTCAAATGGATGGTTACTCGGTTCCATTGTGCATCTGCTCTGGCTTTGACTACTTGGACTTCAGTGTGATTTTGCATTCTGGTGCTTCGTCCATATTCATGTTCCTTGCAATTTGGTATCGGAGCTGGTTTGATTCGCCACTTACCTTTGGCACGCTGGCGTTATACAGACTTGGTGCGTTGACGATGCTTCTTCGCAGTTGGTACTTGTGACGTCAGGCCACATAGGCGCACACCCTGGGTAGAGAGGGGTGCGCCGGAAGGCTAAGACGGCAGTGTATGCCGTGGTGACGTGCGGAATGTATGATTGGTGATGAGGCATGCTGATGTGGCATTCGGCTGAGGTGGCACTGCATTGCGTTGTGGGTGGTACCGAGGCCAAGACCGGTCATCAAATACACACTCAGCTCAATTGGTGAGAAATGTGTGGTTGGGGCAGCTATCTCCAGGTACGTTGTTCCCTTACCTTATCTACTCTCTCAACCTCTTCTTACCGTGAGGAAGTGAGTCCAACTTGAGAGTCCTCTCTTTTGGTGAGGTGTCGTGAGCGCGCTACCTTGAGAGACGACAATCTTCCCGGAAGCATCTGGAAGGAGAAAGGGCGGTGCCTCTGAAGGGCCCTGGTCGAAGCACTGGGTCNTGAGCGCGCTACCTTGAGAGACGACAATCTTCCCGGAAGCATCTGGAAGGAGAAAGGGCGGTGCCTCTGAAGGGCCCTGGTCGAAGCACTGGGTCACGGTCACCATGCCAACGCAATGGGAGTAGGTCACGCATGCGATGGCTGCTGTCCATTTTGGCACTTGCTGCGCTGAATAGAAGTCCTGCCGGGTGTGCCAGCCTTTTATGAGACGCTTACCAGACCGTCTATAAACATTTCTGGTTGGGGACTTGGTTGATTCTGGCTGTGATCGTCGTCCTGACTGCGACGTTAAAGAATTCCGGAAAAGATGGGGGCGCTCGATAAATTCCTCCTGATCAGCCAGATCAACTGGGTGTAAGGCTCGTTCCGTACGAGGGTAAATAAGAGTGGACTGGCTGGCTTGCTCGGGAACGACTTGGGCACAGGGGTGGGCCGATACACACACGAAGACACCGCTTGCTCAAAGATGCTTTCCGGTATGTTGGATTGAGGGGAAGGGTAGTTTCCAATTGGTGCTCAACTGTATACACAACCATACCCACTCATCATACATCTGCTACATGGTCTTTTGTATTCTTGATTAGTTGGTGGACAGACTGCTAACACCTCACAGACAGATTAGATTAGGACTGTTGTATGCTACCATAGCCAGTTCT